TTCCGTGCATTACCACCAACACATTCTCATTTTTTGTTTCATAACTAATACATTCTCATTTTAAGACTTTTCTCTTTTTGGCGGGCACTGCTCTAGATAGAGAAGAAAATATATAAAATAAATACATATTTACACTGATAAGTATCCCAGTAGAAATCTTAAGCATACAACATCGCTTTTGGTGGCATGAGCTTGCTGCTGTGTATACATACCAGTATAAATGAACCTTCATTTCCATTTAACACGCGTGGTTTCTCAGAGCGTATGCATACCTTAATCATACACTTGTACTACTGCTGTATGCATATGTCTGTATTAATGTTTCAAACATACAAAAATGCATTAATGGAACAGTATTAAAGCATTGTTACAAGATCCCCATTTGTAAGTGCTACTTTTCTGATACATTTTAATATACGGGGACATACAAGCAAGTAGCACTTACATATGCAAGTGCATATCTTGTAAAAGCCCGTTTGTACTGAAAATAGTATCGCACAACACGCCCGTTCACTAAAATTTTTGTACAAGACTGAAAATATTACAAAAATTCCACTTCAAATTTATCAAGAAATGTACTTAAAACAACGACAACGTACATTCGCTTGCAATTCGCTAGAATTTTAATTTATTCGTAGAAATTCATGACTACGCATGAATGGTTCACACTAATTCACTCATATCGCAAGCATCCTTCAAGAATGCATACAACCGATTTCCACTGGGATACTCAATTGTTTAGTTACTAATATGTTCTAACTACTTTTAAAAAGCAAGGATAACTAGAATCGACTTATAAAAATATACTATGTTAAGGTGGCGTAGAGATAGAAAAGTGAATACCATTGATGAAGACGAAGGTAAAATTATAATTTTTTAACACTTACGATCGAACTGTTACCGCTTATACATATCTACATTATGCATGTGGAAATATTATTTTACCCTACATGTTTGAATTTAAAATCGAGTAATACATATAAGGCTGTGTAAAGATCAAAAGAATACTATCCTCTTCATGTGATATCTGACCAAGCAAGATTTTCCCTATATAAACAAAAAAGTTTCCTTATTAAATAAACTCATAATTAAGCAAAATAAAAAATAAAAACTCCTGATATATATCAATATACATATGTACACGTATATTATTTCAAAACTGTTGCCATGTCATTGCCTTTTTATAAAAAGGCAATATTGAAAAGAAGTTTTCACCACCATATAAACAGTGAGTTAGGTATTTATTTGCAAATTATTTTGATTCGCAAATAGCTAACTTATAAACGTGGTATATATTTCCAATATTCATCACCATTGAAATGAAAACAAATTTTGACAACTGCTGTTGCTGAAGAGCGCCACTTACGGCCGGATACTAAATAATACTAAAATTTAGGCTAGGCAATTTTTAGCTACAGGGAGGACAGAATTGCAATTTTTGGAGGCTGCCAAAAATTCGGATAAAAATTTAGTTTTAACATTTTGGTATATTTTAGTGGAATCCGGCTTCAAGTAAGGTACACGAAGGAATAGGTACGCCATTTTGCTCGAGCAAAGCTCTGGAATGCCAGTCGAGAGATTCGAGATTCGAGTCCTAGAGGATGGGATTTTTGTTAATATTTTTTGTTTATTTTTTCTTGTAATTTTTAAATTGTATTTTAAAAAGAACAAAAAATATCTCATTTATTTTTATGGTATTTAAGTATTTAGGTTTTTCCATATAAGATTAATTTTACAAATTGTAATTATATTTGAATTGAAATAATTGTCTTACTTTACTTTAACCACCTCCAATCGGACTTGAAACTGCGAACTCAGAACCAGATGTTACAATTCGTAATTTAAAGTTAATATCTAAATTGATATAATTTACTTACATTACTCTAACCACCTTCAAGTGGACTCGAACCAGCGATCTCAGAACCAGAAGCCGTAGTCTTCACGTGACTTCACAGCTAACATTTGTGAGGAAAGCAATTACCTGCGTTTTAGTTTTGACTTTGACAATTTAAAGGCAAAAGTCGCTTTATATGCACACATACAAATATGATATTGCCAAATGAATAAGTTTCTTCCCACATATTAATTGGAAGCCTACTTTAATAAAACTCACCTTACTGAGTCTTCTTCGATCACCTTTGATGAATAAAAACTGATTCATCGTTTCCGCGACTAAAAAAGGAATCGAAAATTACTCTTACGCTTGAAAAGTGATTTATTGAAAATATAAAAACAAAATGAAGGGCAATCACAAATTGATCATGCTGGGGATTGAAATGTGATCGATTCCTTAGCTATTTAAAAACAAAAAAAAAACATTTATTTCAGCTGCCTTTGCTTCTAACGGCATGATTTTTAATTTTTTTTTTTGGGTCAAATTTTAACAATAACAGTCGAGTCGAGGTGTCAATTCGTTGTGTAAGAAAATTGCAATATATGTATGTATTTGTAGTATATAGTAGTAGATCATATGACCTACAAATAATATTTTTCTTCTTAGATATTTGCCATCTTGAATCCAAAGCACAGACCAAGAAATAAACGGTGTGCTACAAAAGCATTTTGGACATGCTAAAGACAGGTTGGAAAAACGAAAACAAACAACATCATTGCAAGTATTTACACACGGCGAAGAACCCGCGCAATTCATAAAATGGACTTCTTAATTTCAAATTAATCAATTTTTATACGGCCAAAAGTATTGGTACAACTTTTCACAATGCAAAATTTCTTAACTAATTCTTTTTCGGTAATTTTTTACATAAACATAGTTCATATTACGGCAAAAATCTACAAAGACAAAATGTCAAAACATATGAATAAATATATAAAAAATTGCAGTAAAATATTGTGGTTGAAATGATGTATGCATGTTTTTTTTTACCCCTTCCCATGAAAGGATTGCGTGCAATTTAGGATTTAATTTTTTGACTAATATGAATCGTACACATTACACGTTTTTGTGCTAAAAGATATATTTTTTTAAACTTTGATTGCTTAGTATTTATTTTTTTAAACGTACAAAATTAAAAATTACACTAGCGGGAATTGTGGCTTATTTGTATTTTCTATTATTTTTATAATTTAATGGAATGGAATTATCAGATTTTGAAAATCCATACACGAGTCGTATACAGTGAATCCTCCCTTGGGCGGACACTCACCGTCAGTCCGCTCAATGGAAGGGAAGCTTATTTTAGAACTTTTTAATGTTTTAATTCATTTTTTCGAAAGTGCATATTTCATTTATGTGCGTACGTACATATTAAGCATTTCAGTCCATAAACTACATAAAACCATAGATTCATTACATAAAGAACTGGGAAATTGTCGATTGAAATACGTTTTATTTTTAATTTTTTTCAGTGTCAGTACCCTTTTCGTCAATAGTTTTCATGTTTTTATCAGTAACAAAATCCAACCAGAAATCTAAATTTTCGGTCCATGTACATATTTATTATTATCTATTGTTATAAATTCATCAGAATTTGAATTGGATTCTCCAAGGGTTTCTGATAATTCAAATAACGAACCTAAACCACTGCGCAAATCAAACTAAATGTGCACATAAAAATCACATTTTATGGGAAGTCCCCCTTTTCTATTTAGTAGTCCGCCTATGAGGAGTTCGCGTCCGCTCAACGGAGGTTTTTGCTTGATTTGTTATGAAAAGAAATCTTAAAGTCCGTTGATAAGAGGTTACCGTCCACTCAATAGAGGTTTTTGTGCCAATTTTATGCAAAATAACTGTCCGCGTCCGGCCAAGAGAGTGTCCGCTTAAGAGAGAGTAATTTTTTCTGAAATTTATACTTAAAACTTGGTATAGGAAAACATGTCCGCCCAAGGGATATGTCCGTCTAATAAAAGAAGTCCAGGTCGTTCGCGTTCGCGAATGTTACGTAGAAAAAATTTCCACTGTTGTTCGTACGCCTATGTATTGGTAGACCAAACGCGTGCGTTCATACACATACATATGTAGTTACCCACGAGCAAAAGGTTTCACTTCGGAAAAAAGTAAGCGAGTTAGTAATAGGTCGCAGGGCAGGGAACGAGGTCATTTCGTTGTAAGAGAAAAATATTTTTTGTTCTTATCC